TCCACTCTACTGCCTTCTACCATCATACCAACTGGCCTGCTTACCGGCAGCTGATCCAAAACAACTGGAACCCTATTCTACCTATTACCAGCATGGATAAGAACGACATAGACAACTGCATTGAGAATCTCACAAATCTATTCATAAAAAGCTATCAATTAACCAGCAAAAAGAAAAATAACTTGAGGACGAACGCTCCTTGGTGGGGCAGAGAACTGGCCAATCTACGCAAAGTAGTCCGTAGTTTACGTAGACTCTATCAGCATCAGAATAATACCCAGACCAGGGCCATGCAAAAAGCCAATTATATATCAAAATTCAATGAATATAAAACCTTAATTAATAAAAAGCGTCACTATGCCTGGAGGCAATTCTGTAACCGATTCAATGACCCCTGGTGTGAACCGTATTACATCGCCTTCAAAAAGAGGGAGAAGGTAGACATTCCTTCGCCTGTCAAAATATCAGAGGATGAATACACCAGCTCTCTGGATAATACTCTCAAACAGCTATTTGAATACCATTTCCCACTAGACAACCCTGCAGAAGACTCGGATACTAATCGGGAGACTCGTAATAACTCATCCCAGCCGTCCAATCAGACAGACGACTCCCTCTTCACTTACAGGGACATCAACCACGCCATCAGCCTCATAAATATCAAAATGGCGCCTGGGATAGACCATGTCACCGGCAGGATGGTCAAAGAAGCCTTCTCTGCCATTCCTACTACCTTCACCACTCTTTACAATCTCTTTACAAATTCTTTGAAATTTCGTGTTTTATTCGGGAAATAAATCATTTAACAATAGTTTGCTTTTAAAATCTATTTGTTAGAAATATTAAATCTTATTACATTTGAGTAATATTTCATGTAAATATATTTAACAGTAGAACAAATGCTATCCAATGTTTTAGATTTTAAAAAATCCATGTTCTACGTCACAGATGCAAATGCCACTTGTTTCTGAGTACAAAATATTAGATAAAATATAGAACACGAATTCAACAAAAAGTACACATGAATCAAAGAAGATCCACTGTTTTATAATTTTGTTCTTTCGGTAAATTCTTTAAAATAATATTTATTTTTAGCAATTTTGTATAGCTCGTTCATGGAAGTTATTCCTATGTTCTTCACCAAATTATAAAAAGTTCCATTCACATTTTTCAGTAGTGCATATGGTGTGTCAAATTGTTGTAATTTCCCTGTATCTAGAACCTAAAAAGTTAAAATATGTAATTAAAATACATATTAGCTTTACATTGTAAGCAATAAAATCTTCTGCTCCTAACACAGTGAAGTGCTATAAATTAAGACACTTGGCGGGTTTCCTCATCTTTATTTAGTTGAACTAGATCAACTAAATAAAGATGAGGAAACCCGCCAAGTGTCTTAATTTATAGCACTTCACTGTGTTAGGAGCAGAAGATTTTATTGCTTACAATGTAAAGCTAATATGTATTTTAATTACATATTTTAACTTTTTAGGTTCTAGATACAGGGAAATTACAACAATTTGACACACCATATGCACTACTGAAAAATGTGAATGGAACTTTTTATAATTTGGTGAAGAACATAGGAATAACTTCCATGAACGAGCTATACAAAATTGCTAANAAATATATCTAACAAGTACTTCTTATGCAAATGAAACATTCGTATCATATGCATAATGTATACTTGATGCAAGAAATTTTTTTGTACAACCTTTTACACAGAGTTCAAAATCGGTTGAAATGTATTAAACTACTTGAATAGATTTGTGATTAGCCCAAAAGTTACATTCGATGGAAAACTGATGTTAGACGCGTGGAAAATACAAAGTAAAAATTCATAATTGGTGAAGCACAAATATTTCAAGTAACTACAGTACAGCATTGATTATCCGACTCAATTGGGGACTCGGGTTGGTCGGATAACTGAAAAAATCGGATAACAGAAAAGAATGAAAAAAATACATTATTAGTATAGTATACAATGGTACCTCGGTATACGTCTGCTTTAGAATACGTCCAATTCGGAATAGGTCCTGTTTGGACAAAACAAATTTTTCTCGGTATACGACTTAATTCAATAATACGAGCCATCTATGAACAAGTAGCACTATCGGTGTACTAGGCCAGACTAGACGTTCGTAGTGCCAAGGTTTATAACTTTGTTAAATTTTTTCTGATTTCATTTTGTAAGTAAAATTTTATTATTTTTATTAATCATGAATTGCAAAAAGGCAAATGAAAAGCAACAGAAAACTAAAAAGAATGACTAGAATCACAATGGAACTGAAAAAAGAGATTGTTGAGGAATATGAAGGTGGTATGCGTGTTCGAGATTTAACTGTTGCAACGACGATATCAACAATCGCGAAAAATAAAGACATTATTAAATATGCTAACGTTGCGAAAGGAGTTAAATCAATTTCTAAACAGAGATCGAAGACATTAGATTATGTTGAGAAATTGCTTTTGCTTTGGATAACTGAAAAACAGTGTGATGGAGACAGCGTATCAGAAGCAATTATTTGCGAGAAAGCTAAAAAGATACATGCTGATCTCTTGAAAAATCAAGCAGGAACTAGCCAGGAAAGCGAGGTGTTTAAAGCCAGCCATTTTTTTTCATGAGAACGGATTAACCATTTTTACATTAATTCTTATGGAGATGGTTGGTTTGGTATACGTCCTATTCGGTATAAATCCAAATATTAGGAACGGATTAAGGTCGTATACCGAGGTTCCACTGTATTAGTATATCGCTATTAACCTACTTCGCGTTGAATTTTCATCGATGTTAAGCCTAACAAATTTTTTAAAAATAATTTGTATCGTTAAAAATTATTTTAAAATTATTTTATTGCTCACAAAACAAACAACCACTCATAATTAGAAAATTAAGTCTCGTTTAAATACTGGTCTCTCATTCATGGTCGAGCCAATGTTGCTAGCTAAAACACGCAAAAATTTAAGAAAAATAATATTAAAGTAGCAAAGACATACCCAAATATTGTAGCGCCACATCACTAGCGGACATTTGAAATTTGCCGACTAGAACGGTCGGTTAACCGATGTGACGGTTAATCGAGGGTCGGATAATCGATGCTCTACTGTACTACTGTTTATTGGTTTTAACCACTCTGCTACTGATGGGAGCATAGAGAATGTTGTGATTGCAGTGTAAAAAACTACAAAAATAATATCGCATATCGAACAAAGAAAACGAAGACGTATATAATTATTTTTATTCTCTCAAGCCCTGCGGAAAAGATTGTACACGATTATGACAGAGCTCTGTTTAAAACTATATACAAATATATGGATTTCTGTTGTTATTCGTTGCGTTTTCTATATTCGCAGACATACTAACATTATGTAATACGGATAAACGCAAATTTAGTTGGATCTACGTATTCCATCTGCTGTCAAAACACGACAGAAAGGAATCTACTTCTGATTAAAACGAAAAATAAAGAATCTCCTCAAAACAGGTAAACCTATCAGTTTTTATTCTTGCACGATGGTAATTATCGTGATTCGTCATTGTATTACTTCTATTATTGTGTAAAATTTCAGTGATTTCTGAATTTGAGTCATTGCCAAGAAAAGACCTTGCATGGCTCGCTGCGCTTCAATTATTGTATTGAAGATCAGATTTCTCAGTTGATTACGAATAATTTCTAAATCACCTCGAATATTAAATCTACACAAACGACTATCCCAGAAAATTTTAATGCGTAGTTTGATCCAAACATGCCAAGCACCAAGATTTCCGTTTCCGTCTGGACAAATCAACAGTAGATATGATTAAAAAGTGATATCGATGTCAAGAAGTTGGATAAAACTTAAATATAAGAAATTTCCGCGTGATTTTGGTTTATGTGAGGAAGTTCAAATTTTAATAGAATATATTTTCCAGATTGTTGAATTACTTTTACATTTATTAATTCATAAGTAATTCAGCAATATCCCATATAATGAATTGTAAGATTAGATGGTGTCTATAGATTCAACAGAGATTATGAAAGTTATGAATACAAATACATTAAAGACAGGTAAATTTTTTACACTTCTTTTCAGAAAAATAACATAACCATTCAATTTTCATACTAGTTTCTTTCTGTGTGAACGTGTCTCTTTAATCCGATCAATTCCGTTCGGTAGACTATCATATACAGGTATCATATACTTTATATGATAGTCTACCGAACGGAATTGATCGGATTAAAGAACACATTCACAACGAAATAGCAGCTGCCATAAGGATTTTTTGATAGTTTCTTTCTTTCTAATACACAGTTATTATGGAGGATGTGATCATATTCATTGTTCTCCAAATAGCTTATGTCTAAATAATATGAATCACGAAGTATATAAAAATAACAAAGACATCAGAGTTTTTTTGTATATCATCGTATATACATTGAATAGTTTACACAACAAAACACCAATGTAACATAAAAAGATCGCTTATTTACAGATATGTCCAATATCACACAAAATCGATTAAAAATTTGGAAACAAGTTTTTAAGATTGGTGCTCTTTAGCAAAAGACGCCAAGAGTGCCTTTTTCATGCTCATAGTGAATTCGAGCAGACCCACAAAGAGAACGACGAAATGGTGAGAAACTTAGTCTAACATATTTTGGTCCCAATATAATGGCATAAAATATTTCTGGTGGTCGTTCACTTTCGATTAAAGATTCTTAGTGTAGTAGATTGAAGTTTCAACCACTCAGTAGATTAGTCCTTTCAATATGGGCTTAATATCAATCTAATCGTCATGACTATATTATCCACCATATTTATCTGTTAGCTTAATTTATGGCCAATTTCCACAGAAAACACCGTATTATTATATGGTTGAGAACTGTTAATGCCTAACTTGAACAAAGTTTTCGTGATCTATAACTAAATCTGGAAACAATTGCGAATAAAACAAACTAACGGTTAATTGAACAAATATTCAATCTATAATTAAAAACTGAAAATTTCGAAATAAGATATCATTTTCTGCGTATCACAAATCATAAAACAATTTTTATATCAAATTAGATCAATTTTTAAAGTTTATATATTCTAACCTTTTATCAATATTGGATGTTGCTTCGTCCATGACAAGAATTTTATTCTGACGAAGAATGGTCCTGGCAAGGCAAATTAACTGTCTTTCCCCAACGCTGAAATTTCGTCCTCCTTCTGATAAATGTGTATCCAATCCGCCAGGTAATTTACTAATTACTTCTTTTAATTGCACCTTTAATTCAGAAGTTTTTAAAGTGTATGTGTTATACACGATAATTAATTTTAATCATTAGAAAGAGTTAAAGAGATAAAACAGGTAGCAAATTAAACTAATTATTTCTAACCTCTTCAACGGCTTGCCACAGATTTTCTTCCGAATATTCATTGAAAGGATCGATGTTTCTTCGAAGAGGACCGGTAAATAACATCGGATCCTGAAAAAAGTACATATCTGGTGCATTAATCGCTTCTGTTGTACAAGTCGTGTTTATATAAAATTTAATAGATATTGTTTTACATTTCTGTGTATAAATTGACTATTTGGACCTTATTTATTAATAGGATTCATTAAACTGATGGAGGCTTTGATTAGCAAAAAAGACGAGATCATACTCAAAGTCAAAACAAAATATCATTATTTTCACCTGTTAATACATAGTACATCACAAAAATATTTTGGGTAAGTTTTAATTTCTAATGATTCAAACTCATTGCTAGTAAATTAGTCGATTTTTATATCATTTTCGTTTTAAATTTGCTATTCATTTTGTAATGCATTTTAGCAGCTTTCCGAACAGAGCAGTGCCAAATTATGCAAATAAGAAGATTATCGAAAGTTTTTGTATTTTTGCAGCATTCAATGTGTTATGTGAAATCTGAACATTGCAGAAAGTGCTGTTTATTTTGTATCAGAGCAGGCTGTGTGTACTTTCGATTTGTTTTGCACGCTCTTTAATCGCTCCTAATTACATCGTGTTAACCGATCTACAAACTCAAACATTAAATTCACTAAACATTTGAATGCCAGATTATTAATTTGAGAATTTCAAATTATCACCTATTATTTATATAGACTAATAAACTAAAGGAATTTTTAATGTAATTGATATATAAGTTAGGGACCAAGTGATTAATAGGGCATGCAGTCTGATAAATATTTATTAATTTATCAAATTGACTGGTCATTATGAATAGTGCTATCACCTAGTCCACAAAGTAATAATAATAATATGTTGACGAATGATCATGCAACATACGCTAGCCAATCAGCACAACATCTGAGTTGCGCATGCGTATTCCGTTTAGTACTGAATTTTAAATATATGCGACCTATAGTTAATCTTGTTAAAAATTTTAATTTGATTAAAAAAACTTTACTTATTTCATTTAGAAATATTTATTTTTTGTTAATTATTTCAAACTATTTTATAAAGAACACGTAATCTTTCAAAACTGAGTACTATTAACTACATTAATTAAACGGTAAAATTTTACCTATGTGCACTGTGATGGCGGTGGTCGCAACTATTCGTCCTCCCGGAGGGGAGCTGCTAGCAGGTCGCTGAGTGTTTCACGTCACTAGTTATTGCTTCATGGTAATTCTTGAACACACATATCAATAACTAGTGACATTAAACCAGGGGTGGCCAACCTTTTGCATACCATGCGCCAATTTTTGTGATAGACTAGTTCGGATGCGCAGAGGCGTACTGTGAGTGTTAGCAGCCCGGGGCGGAGAAAAATTTCGGCCACCCGTTAACTAGGTATTTCAATTTATAAGAAGAAACTATTTATAATCTATAATTCATAAGAGAACTATCTTACACGGGTAGTTACACTACATGTATAAAGTAGTTCAACATGACATCAGTCGTGTAACGAATGCATAGTGTAACGTACAACGAATGCATTGGGTAACGTTCAAGCGAAAAGAAAAAAAAGGTCAACAGGTAGATTGCACCGAACTGTGTACGCAATGAAGCCGAATATGGTAATGTTGCTCAGAAACGACTAAAGCGCCACTTGTAATCGTCCAATGCACCAAGTTTGGCGCATGCGCCACGTGTTGGCCACCCCTGCATTAAACAATCGCCGGAATGCTGGCAGCTCCCCTCCGGGAGGAGTCTGTCAAGAGCAGGAACAATCGTGACCACCACCATGACGGTGCACATAATATTAATTTAATTATTAAAATTATACCTAACAGAAAATAAACTTACAGAAAACTTCTGGAATTTTATTTTTGGTATAAATTATTTAAAAAATTAAATGCCTTTTAGTTTGTTGATTTAAGCAATTAAGATTTTGATTACATTTGAAATTACATATTTTTTTTTCTTTGTAGCATTTATTATTTTCTTTGTAGCATTTTTTTTCTTTGTAGCTTCATTGCATCTATTAGATTTGCAACCAATTTTGCAGCAGCATCGCCTATAACCTTGGCCTCCAGTAAAACTAAAATGTTGGTCAGAATCAACAACTAGTTGCAAAAATTAAAATTCGGTACTAAACGCACTATGCACGAGCTAGTAATATGCGATTGCTAATTGGCTAGTCTATGTTGGATGATTAACCTTAACATATTGTTATTACTTTGCCCAACTAGGTGATAGCACTGTTCATGATGACTGGTCATTTTGATAAATTATGTTAAAACACCTGAAATTTATTACAATGCCTGACTTTATTTGTCATTATTCATCATGCCAGTATCCACAACTATCTAAATGAAACAATCTAAATTTTTGTAACATTTTTTGTGATTTTTGAAATTTATACAGTATAAAAAGATTTGGTAACGCAATGATAGATTTTTGTCTTGAAAACTAGCAATTACAGTCGACCCCTAGAACACGATAGATACGTTCCGTTTTTTATGAAATTCATGTTCTAAGAGTCCTTAAATACATAAGCCAATCACAGCCCGGCACATATGCAGTTTACGGACTACGGCTGTTTGAAAGGTTTTCTTCCATAAAATTAATCGATTCTAGACTAATTTGACTCAACATTTCCAAAACACGTATAATTTTTTGGGAATAATCCATATAAACTATGCTATAAACAAAAAATTGTAGGATTACTTACCGAGTGTGCATCGTTCGACGACGCCATTGCTTAAGCTTGTTTTCGTCGCGGAGCGGCGCATCGAACGGTGGGCACGTGTTTCCTGATAAATAATTTTTCTGCGAAAAATTCGCTGAACTTTGGAAAAATCATTAATATATACATAATTTTGATGGCCGTTAAAAATAATAAATGGTTTTTAGTAGGTCCGCTGCTCGTTTAAACTCAACGGTTTGTGCAATATCCGCTATTGGTCTAGATTCGACCCATCCTGTCGCGACTCGAGTCGGCGATGCCGTTTTACCGTATTTTACGAGTTTCTTTTAGCGTGTTTACACGAATTCGGTCGCAATTTTTTCGCCGTTATACAGTCCACCCCTTTATAATACTGTTGATTTTTTTCGTTTTATATGAATTCCATGTTGTACGAGTCACTTAGATTTTACAAAGACGTGAGTCGTTCACAGCCCGGCACACGTATTTGTAAAATCTAAGTGACTCATGCAACATGGAATTCATATAAAACGGAAAAATCTACAGTGTTATAGGGGGGTCGACTGTATACGAATCCGCATTATATGAACCCGTTTTATAGGGGGTCTACTGTATTTATTGTGGCATCGTTATAATGCCAGATTGCAATTTTTTTTATCATATTTGTAATTTATTTAATTTAGAATATATGCTCTCCACCTAAAATTAGTAACGTACTGTCTTGTTCTTCTACATCATACTTCTCTGTTAGCAATGGAGTCGTAACTGTCAATTATCTAACTCTTTTCAGTTGTAAATGAATTGAAATATCATGTCTTCTGATTTGCAGCGAAGTTCATGTATAGTTAATCGGGGTTTACTTCCCCAATATGGTCTTCAATTGCCATATTTGCTGTTAAATTTCATCTAGTTTTGGAGTTTGAGAAAAGATAGACAGTGAGACAGAGAAAGTAAGAATTTATAGGTCTATTATTCGTCTTATATAGGCCCATATATAATTTAAAATTTTATATTTAGCATTATTGGGTGCAATTTTTTCTAATTACAGCCTAATTCTGAAATATACTTACCTGAAATATTATTACTGTAACATCAGTATATAGTAATTTTATCTTCTAAAAAGTTTCATGTTCAGCTTATCATAATGCATATTTTTTTAGCATCAAACACGTGGTATAAATTCTAAAAACTACACATCATTTATCACTCAGCTAATTACCAGGCTCTAAATAATTAGAATAAGTGAATGGCAGGGGTAATACGAAGGTAAGATTTGGCAACATAATGACAGGTGACATAACTTGCAAAAAAAATATTCTGTTTTATTTGGACATATCACTACGCACTCTCAATCACAATGTGTGTACTTGTGGAACAAACGAAAAAGCGATTATCTAGGAGTTTCATCACAGGTTTGTACAAGAATTTCCATTGAAAATATAATATCATATTTATAACTTCTGGTATAAACCAAAAGTTATATTATATAAAAATTTCGTTTATACCAGAATCCATATCAGTAAAATCAATATCTCGTGCAGTATCATTTTAATGTATTCCATACATTAAAATGATGAAACAAAAAACATATGCATGCCATTGTTCCCAAAGCTCATTATTTTTACCGAAAAACAGCAGAAGAAATCGACCAACATGTAATGTCCAATTACAATAGCACTTGACATTTTCTTAGCAATGGCCTAAACGAAATTTTGCATTTTCGAATCTCCAATCTGAATTAATTTGAAACAGAAAACTCTTAAAATATTCTTGTGAACCTACCTAAAGCCTTAAAGCTTTGAAATGAAGGCCTATCTAAAGTCTTAAACCTTTGAAATGAAGGCCTACCTAAAGTCTTAAACTTCAACCTTCTCCAAAAACCAGCAGTGTCAACTTCCCTTTCATATCAAAGATTCTTAAATAAATAAATTATTTATTGTTCTTTGTTATATCGACATGCATTTTTCTATAATCACTAGACTGATAAAAATCATTTCCCCAACGTGGGCAGTTTTATATAGTCAATTATAGTTGCTGCGAAGCCCTTAATGGGAAGGGAGACGCCTGTCATACGGGATGGACCATCTCCTAAATAATTTCTTGTATTTGTTCAGATTCTATCTAGGTATTCTGTGTTATCATGTTTAAAAAATTACATTTTTATAAAAGAAGGAAAAGACATGTTTTACAGTACAGTTGATCCCTTTATAACACCGTTGATAATTCCATTTTATATGAATTCCATGTTGTACGAGTCACTTCGTTTTTACAAATATGTGAGCCGTTCACAGCCCGGCACACGTATTTGTAAAATCTAAGTGACTCGTACAACATGGAATTCATATAAAATCGAATTATCAACAGTGTTATAAGAAACAGAAATATTTTCCTCTATGTCCTTATGTATAGGGGGTCAACTGTAAATAAATTTGAAAATTGTTAAATAAGAAATTATATTTAATAAATTTATTGTTACATACTTGAGGAATGATAGATATTTTGCTACGAAGATCCCGAAGTCCGATATCTTTAACGTCAACTCCATCGATGGTTATTGTCCCTGTCGGCTCTGTCATGCGAAATAATGAAGCAATTATAGAAGTTTTTCCTGCTCCTGTTCTGCCCACAATTCCTATCTGCAACTCATAAATAACACAAATCATTTCTGACAATAATTATTATCAACAATTTTTATAATTTGTAGATATTTTACCTTTTCTCCTGAGTAAATACGAAATGTTAAGTGCTTTAAAACAGTATTTTTATCCTTCGAATATTGTAAAGAAACATTATCAAAGTGAATTTCTCCTTTTTGTGGCCAATCTGGGGGTGGCTGTTTATCGAGAGAACTTTCGTATGATGCTTCTGATTTCAATTTGGTATAATTCAGTATACGTTTAACAGAGTTCATCTGGAAAAGCGACTTTGTATAAAATAACGCAGTGATGAAACATATTAAAGTAAAAATACAGTGGTGCCTCGTATAACGTACTTAATCCGTTCCAGGTTCACGTCCGTTAAGTGAAAAGTCCGTTATACGAAACGCATTTTCCCATAGAAATACATGTTAAAACATATAATTCGTTCCGCAGCATAAAATAACCGAATAACCGTACTGTACCATAACAAAAAAATGAAAATGGAGCAGTCACCAATTATGCCGGGTAGTCAGATGTTGTGAGGAGGAGGTGGAGGAACACTTTCTTCACGCATTCATACAGATACAGACTTTTTACACATTGCAGCGGGTCTTTTTTTTATTGTTTTTTAATCGGATTCAGATTCAGGAGAGGCTACTGGAGCTTGCAGGGTCAACTCCTCTTGTTCCATCCTTTGTTTTTTCTCTGCTGGCTTCTTGAAAAACATGTCCAAGATGGTCTGTTTCTCTCTCTTCTTCAACACCTGTCGGAAATGATGGGCAAGGGTGTCATTGTAGAGATCATTGATACTGTTGGCCTCAGCTCTGTTTGGATAATGAGTGTTGGTAAACTCCTTAACCTCTCAAGGAAGAAAGTTTTTGTCAACTTTCACTCCTTCTGATGATGTCTTGCATTGTTTTAATTGAAATCATCTTTCTGTGTTTTTAGAAGCCATGATTTGCACAACACTTGAATAAATGTAAATACCCTGCACTGAGGTGATGTACTGTACGTAATAAACAAGGGAGTAATCCGAATCCCAACGGGAGCTCTGTACTTCAGATATACTAATAATATATTCTAATAATACTAATATGTTATAAAAAATAGCAGATTGTCATTGGCAACGGCAAAAGAGTGGAAACATCATTCGCACTTGTTCGTAGAAAGTCCATTGGTCGCCTCACGTAACTGCCGAACGGAAAGTCCGTTGTCCGCAGCCAGTTCCGTTGCTCGAGTCACGTAACGGCCAAACAGAAAGTTCGTTATTCGCAGCGTCCGTTATTCGAGGCGTACGTTATACGAGGCACCACTGTATATATTAGGCAGTTATATTAAATGTACAGAAGTTTATAAAACTGAAGATAGAGTTATTTTTATGTAAGGATGCACAGTGACAGGATTTACATTTGATTGTTATTTCGTTGTATGTAATCACTAAATACTCGTAATTTACAATTTTTTTCGATAATGTGTATTAATTCATTATAAATTTTTAACATTAGGAGTTCTTACTGTTTTTTCGTTTAATTACCTTAAATTTTAACATGTTTCTTTACATTATTATGTAAAACAGCTTATGTTCTTGTGTAATGAAAAGTTATAAAAATTTGTTTTTTTACGTTTCACTTCAGATCATATATTATTAATATTTAAATCTCCACATTTCTCAAATTTCATATTTCAGTTTTAAAACAGATTATAAAATAACTTCTTAGTAATGATCCTATGTTGTTAGTTTTAAAGAATTCAACTTTAATGCTTTGAAAGATAATACCTGAAGAACGTCAGAAATATTTTCCTGTATGTCCCATTGTTCAACTGCTCGTTTCACATATTTACATGTATAACAGCTCCAATTATATTTTAAGACATAATGATAATACTCGAACCAAAAATTAAATAAAAAAATTAAAGAGAGTAGATTTTCAAATCCTCTTTAAACCAAATTATGCAATTACTGAAATTAATGAAAAGAATATGGATAAATTTTAAACATTAAAATTCCTCTTAGGAGCTGTAGAACCTAATACAACGAAGCCTGAAAATTTTATCGTATTTTGAAAAATTGTAGCAAGTAAAACATAATATATAGAGTTAGATATGACTGAATGTTGTTCTACTTGATAATCTATAACGATATAGCTGCACATATGATCGTTACCTGTTAGAGAATAATAAATTTTTCAAGTTTCATTGTCTTTGTGTTTTTGTATTGTTATGAATGCATAAATTACGCGCTCATCTTTAGTGTGTATACATTTCAAGTGAAGCATAGTGTTTTTTTTTCTCTTTGAATGTGAGTCAGAATGTTCTTTCTTCTAATATAAAATAATGGAAGGAAATGTTTGTTTAGTAGGTCGCAAGAATTAAATTAAAAGAAACAATGAATTGTAATGAACTCTCAAATTCATCTTAACTTCAAAATTTCATTTTAACTGTAATTATAACAGTTAAGATGAAGTTAATTAAGATGATCTAAGATGAAATTACCACGAGTCTAGAAATAAATCTGTTATATGGTAATAAAATTATAACATTTTGTAAATGAGGATCAACATGTAAAACTAAGGATATGACGAATATATGCGAGTTTTTATGACAGAAACAAAAAAAAAAGTTTTTTTTTTCGAATTGAATTGCTGAAAGTGAATTGAGAAAAATGTTTGGAATAATGTCCTGGAAGTAGAGGAATGTTTTTATTTGCTTCATTTCTCACGCGGAAAATGATTTCTGTTATAACAAAAGACAATCTCTTTGTCCTTTGACCCACATCTTTTCAAGATTTGAGTCAAATATTTACAAAGTCATAAAACATTTACCGGTATATTGACTTTTAGAGTAGGCACTGTGGCGAGTTCTATTATTTTCTCGGGAAAGAATAAATATAGTTTAACTACCATGACCTAAAAAGATAACTTTTTCGTCAGGGTAGTTAAATTGTATAATTTAAAACGAAGCACATATCAATAGGATGAAGTTAAAATACATTATAATAAGTGGAAATTCCATATGTCTGTTATTAGTGTTTTGAGATCAAATTACCTCAAAATAAATACACAGAACTCAGTGGCGTAGCGACTATGGGGGCGTCAGGGGCGGCCCGTTCGGGCGGCACTTTTAGGGGGCGGCAAAATTTCACAATAAATAATAATAATATCTTGTAAACATTTAAACCATTTCATTTCATATTTTTGTTAGTGTTGTAACGAATAGTATATTCGGCCTCAGGTCGAATACCCGAATATTCGGGCAGGAGAGTGGCTGAATAGCCGAATATTCGGTCAAACTATTCGGCTCGATTAACGCACGTACGAAAATTGGCGCGCAAACCGCATTATGGCAAGGATCCTGCTCTCTATTGGCCCGCTGTCACTACGCTTCGCCAATCGCGTTAATTCTTGGCAGTTGTAGCGGACAGAGAAGAGTGTCATGGAAGTATGTGATAAATGATGATATCAAATGTGG